AGGGTATCTCAGTTATTATGAAAGATAGAAAGTTGCGGCTTTCGCGAACCTGAGCTACTTTTTTGTGAAACTTACAATGGCGCAAACCAAATTTTCATAGCCCTCTTCGTTTTTGATATACAGGGAGTGTTTGACATTTACGATTTTCAGACACCTCCTGTATCTCGGCTATCCGGAAACTTAGTAAGAAAGTAAAAACGGGTTCTAATAGATTTTTTCACGTGGAATCCAATGGTGCACGTAGAATTTTTCTAGTCATCACGGTTTTTAAGTTATAAACACAACTCAAATACTGAATACTCAACTTCTAAAATACCTAACTCTTTATAACTCAAAAACCTTGATGACTAGAAAAATTCTACGTGAAAAAATCTATTAGAATCCATTTTTACGTTTCCGGATAGCCGACATACAGGGGTGTCTGAAAATCGTAAATTTTGAAGCTCTCTCTGTATATCAAAAACGAAAAGGGCTATGAAAACTTGGTTTGCGCCATTGTAAGTTTCACAAAAAAGTAGCTCAGGATGGCGAAAGCCGCAACTTTCTACCTTTCATAATAACTGAGATACCCTGCAAACCCATCGAAATTTGGACACCCTGTACATATCCGCTTCACTGCGCACGCGCGAGGATCACCTTCTGTCTGGAATCGGCCATTTTACACTACTGGAGATATTGGATATTAATGTTATCAGTCTAAAGTTGTCAAATAGCATGTTATTTCCCTTTTTATGCCGCTAATATGGCATATTTGTATCAAGGGTTTATTAATAATATCCGCTATACCTTCTTATAACTGTTCAAAAATATCATTAGGTGACATGAGGGAGCGGCCACTCTCGTCAGCGCGACCTATAAGATCTATTGTAACTTAAGCTCTCCAAAGGTTTAGGGCAAATGTAGGTCGTTGATGAACATGAGTATTACTCCAAGGTCTTGTTCCTTTATGCGAGTAGGTGTCAGGCGAACCTTATCGAAAATTTTGGATCTTAGGCGACGCATTCACACAATATATGTTAGCAGTCTGACTCGTCGTTACAGAGCCGATAAGTTTGATCTTCAGCTTTCTAATGTGGAAGAGTTTTGGAACATGTTTTGTATTAATATAGGTATTCTCCTGAAGCTGCTATAATTATGTGGCGAAACCGGTAGAGAAATAAAAAAAAATATCGATTTAAAGTGCAAAAACGAATTTTATTTACATTAAATAGTATTTGTCTTCGCAAGGAGTTTTAAGTCTTCTGCCAGCAATATTTAGTCTTCTACAGGCAATACTAATATTCTGCAACTAATTTCTAGTCTATTGGAAGCAATAACTAATCTTCTATAGACAATATCTATTTTCTGCAAGCATTTTTTTGGTATTGTATAGGTTGTATTTGTCTTTCGCATGGAGTTTTTAGTCTTCTGCCGGCAGTATTTGGTCTTCTACAAGCAAAATTAGTATTCAGCAACCAATTTCTAGTCCATTGGAAGCAATAACTAACCTTTTATAGACAATATCTATTTTCTGCAAACATTTTTTGGTATTGTATAGGTAGTATTTGTCTTCCGCAAGCAGTTTTAAATCTTCTGTCGGCAGTATTTAGTCTTCTAGAAGCAGTATCAGTATCCTGTAACCAATTTCCAGTGTATTTGTAGCAATAACTATCATTCTATAGACAATATCTATCTTCTGCAAGCATTTTTTAGTATTGTATAGGTAGTATTGGTCTTCCGCATGGAGTTTTTAGTCTTCTATCGGCAGTATTTGGTCTTTTACAAGAAATATTAGTATTCTGCAACCACATTCTAATCTATTGGCAGCAATAACTAAAGCCGACGTTACACGTCGCAATTGACTGCTATAGCGGCAACTACGGAGGAGCGTGGTTTGACTGTTCCCGTCAAAATTTGCGTGTAACATGTCTATTACCATAGTAATGACTGCGAGCAAAGCTACTGCGAAGGCTGGAAAATTTTCTACTTTCGGTATATCACATAAATTTGACGATTTACACGACAATTTGACGCTAGCAGTCAAACCATGCCCAACCATGCCCCTCCGTAGTTACCGCCATAGCAGTCAATTGCGACGTGTAACGTCGGCTTAACATTCTATAGACAATATCTATTTTCTGCAAGCATTTTTTAGTATTGTATAAGTTGTATTTGTCTTCCCCAAGAAGTTTTAAGTTTTCTGGCGGCAGTATTTAGTCTTTTACAAGCAGTATTAGTATTCTGTAACCAATTTCCAGTGTATTTGTAGCAATAACTAACATTCTATAGACAATATCTATCTTCTGCCAGCATTTTTTAGTATTGTATAGGTAGTATTCGTCTTCCGCAAGCAGTTTTAAATCTTCTGCCGGCAGTATTTAGTCTTTTACAAGCAGTATTAGTATTCTGCAACCAATTTCCAGTGTATTGGTAGCAATAATTATTAATCTATAGACAATATCTATCTTCAGCAAGCATTTTTTAGTATTGTATAGGTACTATTTGTCTTCCGCATGGAGTTTTTAGTCTTCTATCGGCAGTATTTGGTCTTCTACAACAAATATTAGTATTCTGCAACCAACTTCTAATCTATTGGCAGCAATAACTAACATTCTATAGACAATATCTATTTTCTGCAAGCATTTTTTAGTATTGTATAAGTTGTATTTGTCTTCCGCAAGAAGTTTTAAGTTTTCTGGCGGCACTATTTAGTCTTCTACAAGCGATATTGGTATTCTGCAATCAATTTCTAGTCTATTGGTAGCAATAACTATTAATCTGTAGACAATATCTATGTTCAGCAAGCATTTTTTAGTATTGTATGGGTAGTATTTGTCTTCCGCAAGCAGTTTTAAATCTTCTGCCGGCAGTATTTAGTCTTCTACAAGCAGTATTAGTATCCTGTAACCAATTTACAGTGTATTTGTAGCAATAACTAACATTCTATAGACAATATCTATTTTCTGCAAGCATTTTTTAGTATTGTATAGGTTGTATTTGTCTTCCGCAAGAAGTTTTAAGTTTTCTGGCGGCAGTATTTAGTCTTCTACAAGCAGTATTAGTATCCTGTAACCAATTTCCAGTGTATTTGTAGCAATAACTAACATTCTATAGACAATATCTATTTTCTGCAAGCATTTTTTAGTATTGTATAGGTTGTATTTGTCTTCCGCAAGGAGTTTTAAGTCTTCTGCCGGTAGTATTTAGTCTTCTACAAGCAGTATTAGTATTTTGCAACCAATTTCCAGTGTATTGGTAGCAATAACCATCATTATATAGACAATATCTATCTTCTGCAAGCATGTTTTCGTATTGTATAGGTAGTATTTGTCTTCCGCATGGAGTTTTTAGTCTTCTATCGTCAGTATTTGGTCTTCTATAAGAAATATTAGTATTCTGCAACCAACTTCTAATCTATTGGCAGCAATAACTAACATTCTATAGATAATATCTAATTTCTGCAAGCGTTTTTTAGTATTGTATAGGTTGTATTTGTCTTCTGCAAGAAGTTTTAAGTTTTCTGGCGGCAGTATTTAGTCTTCTACAAGCGATATTGGTATTCTGCAACCAATTTCTAGTCTATTGGTAGCAATAACTATTAATCTATAGACAATATCTATCTTCAGCAAGCATTTTTTAGTATTATATAGGTAGTATTTGTCTTCCGCAAGCAGTTTTAAATCTTCTGCCGGCAGTATTTAGTCTTTTACAAGCAGTATTAGTATTCTGTAACCAATTTCCAGTGTATTTGTAGCAATAACTAACATTCTATAGACAACATCTATCTTCTGCCAGCATTTTTTAGTATTGTATAGGTAGTATTCGTCTTCCGCAAGCAGTTTTAAATCTTCTGCCGGCAGTATTTAGTCTTTTACAAGCAGTATTAGTATTCTGTAACCAATTTCCAGTGTATTTGTAGCAATAACTAACATTCTATAGACAACATCTATTTTCTGCAAGCATCTTTTAGTATTGTATAGGTAGTATTTGTCTTCCGCAAGCAGTTTTAAATTTTCTGTCGGCAGTATTTAGTGTTCTACAAGCAATATTAGTATTCTGCAACCAATTTCTAGTCTATTGGTAGCAATAACTAATAATCTATAGACAATATCTATTTTCTACAAGCATTTTTTAGTGTTGTATAGGTGTGAGAATTTGTGCCAGTGGTTGTTGTGATTTGTTTTTGGCCACCAAACCAGTGAGGTATAGGCGACTATGGGTCTTAATTATTGCCATGTAGGTCATTTGTGGTTTAAGACCCCATATCCTTCTAAAGAGCTTCCAGCAAATTCATGGCCTTTCTCATCACTTTGACTATGTGGGAATTCCAGTCGATTTCACTTTGAACACATTCACTATTAAACATTTAACATCATGCTAAATTAAACATCATATTTAAAACAACCTATTTATGTTGTATTTTCTGAATTTTGGAAAATTTTTTGAACAAATCACACGAGATGACCCTCTTAACGATAAAGTTTTAGTAGATTTAGCTGCTTGGCTTTATTATTATTTTTTTTTTTAATTTTTTGTTCTAAACAATTTTTTTTTGTTTAAATTTTATTTTCTAGTGCATCATAACATGGAGAATCCACCTATTGTGGCAACCCATACGAATGGTAATACACTGAGTCTCCCCAAAAATTTATTTTAACTCAACTTAACAAAACGTTTTAAACATTCTCTAAAAAGCATGTTTATTATAATTTTTTTTCTTAACTTTTCTAACCCAAATAGAGGAATATGCATGTAATTAATTAATTATTACCGTTTGTATGGGGAAAGCTCGCTTTTTTTTCTTTTTTATTTCATTTTAACCAAATTTATTTTTTAATTTTCCTTTCGCTTTAGATGTTATTAAATAAACAAAAAGCTTCTTAAAATAATCTTAATTAATCTAATTTATTAATTAATAATCCTATATAAAATCAAAAAGATATCATGCAAATTCCTCTTTTAACCCAAATTATTTTTAAAACAAAATTAATCGAAACAATCATTTTAGTGACAACCCCTTTATTCACGGGAATCGGAGGTTCTTCACGAACATACATCGATCCTCACACTTACGAAGATCCCAACCAAGCGGTGCGAGAATTCGCGCGCGAAATCGACGCCGGTTTAATCACCATCGAGGCGATTATCGGCGGCGGCGAATTCGGCGACGTTTGCAAGGGAAAGCTTCGCGTTAACGGACATGATATAAGCGTTGCGATTAAAACGTTAAAAAACGGCTCTTTGGATAAAGCAAGAAACGATTTCTTAACCGAAGCTTCGATAATGGGGCAATTCGAGCATCCCAACGTGATTTTCTTGCAAGGAGTCGTCACGAAATCGAACCCGGTCATGATTATAACTGAGTATATGGAAAATGGGTCTTTGGATACTTTCTTAAGGGCGAATGATGGGAAATTCCAGATTATCCAATTGGTTGGGATGTTACGAGGGATAGCCGCGGGGATGCAATATTTAAGCGATATGAATTACGTCCATCGGGATTTAGCGGCTAGAAATGTGCTGGTTAATTCGCAATTGGTGTGCAAGATTGCTGATTTTGGGCTGAGTAGGGAGATTGAGAGCGCAACTGAGGGGGCTTACACCACTAGAGTAAGTTTGTGGAGTCTAATTAAGTTTTTATTAATAATTTCGTTTAGGGGGGGAAAATCCCCGTTCGATGGACGGCCCCTGAAGCGATAGCTTTTAGAAAATTCACCTCAGCGAGCGACGTTTGGTCGATGGGGATCGTTTGTTGGGAGGTGATGTCTTATGGGGAGCGCCCCTATTGGAATTGGTCCAATCAGGATGTTATTAAAAGCATAGAAAAAGGATATAGGTAATTACACCACATTTAAAGGTGATATTTTAATTAATAAGCTTAATTTTTAAAGATTACCAGCCCCTATGGACTGCCCAGAAGCTATTTACCAATTGATGTTGGATTGTTGGCAAAAAGAAAGGACGCACAGACCCACTTTCCAATCGATAGTCAAGACTTTGGACAAATTAATTCGCGTGCCAGAAACTTTAAGAAAAATAGTCCAAAATCGGTATTATAATTCATCTTTTTTTAAATCCTAAATAACTCACCCTTAACCTCTTTATTTATATTTTTTTATCGCCCCTTTTCTAAAACTATCGCTTTTTAACATCATTTCTTTTTGATTCGACCACTTTTACCAAGAAATACAAAGACCTTCAAATTCTCGCCATCAAATTCCATAATTACTTAATTTAATCTGCGTAAATAAATAAATAAGAATTAGATCAATTTAAAAGTTAAAAGAATCATTTTTTACCTCTAATAATCCTTAAAGTTGCAATTGAGTCCGATTAATTCAAATAAAAATTGATGGATAAAATCGAAACACTTCTTTTAGTGGATTGGTCCATAATTACGCTAATTTTAACCTGTGGGGATAAATAAACTCGAATTAATAATTAATAATCAAATAAACACAACAATTAAATTTTTTAACCTAAAAATAAAATTTGACACAAACGTCAACGCCATCTTACGGCGAAATGCTAAATTATTTAATAAAAAATAATTAATTTAAAACTTATAATTTAAACTTAACTTGTGAGTTATAAACACTTTAAGCTATAAATAGATAAATAATAGAAATCGATTAAAGCATTATTGTTTTAGGGAAATCTAACCTCACTTTTTTCTAAGTAATAAACTTAATCTCACCGCTTAATTTCTCTCAAAAACACTCACCTTAACATGTTAAGAATGATAATGTTATTTACTCGCCTTCATTTACTCGAATTAAATGATTAATCGCGAAAAAATCATTAAAAATTAAATTTCCGATTCAATAAAATCGACTTCGACACCGCACCCTATCGGGTAATGAGCGAATTAAACTTATAACTTTAGCTTACAATTAATTAAATTAATATTTTTCGTAATTGTTGTTATAACTGTTTTGTTTAACTTAAATTACCTTTTAGAATGAACTAAATAAAAATTAGTTTTTACTAAAAATGTTTGTAAACAAATCGACGATTAGCGCCATCTAACGAGTAAAAAGTGAACTAAATTAATAGGGGGGAAATTTAAATTAATTATTAATGAGTTAATTTTAAATTTCTATTTCATCATCTTTATTTTTATCTTAAAATCATTATTTTTGCTGCTTTGGTTAATTTAATTTTTTTAATTTCATCGAAAAATGTCATTCTTCTAATTAATTTTATTTTTATTAAATTATACCCAGCCAAATTCAAATCCTAATCTACTTTTTTAATAAATTTAATCATAAAATAAGTGTTTAAATAAAATTACCTGATGATGTTCAACGGTATAGTTTCTTGATTAAAAATAACATTCTTAAAAAAAACTTAAATTAGTTAAAAATTACCTATATAGTATTAGAAAATGTTTACAGAAGACAGATAGTGCCTATAAAAGGTTAGATACTGCTGTTAATAGACTAGAAAATGCTTGCTGAACACTAAATACTATTGGCAGAAGAGTCAAAATGCTTGCAGAAGATAAATATAGTTGGCAAAATACTAATACTGCTTGTAGAACAATAAATACTATTGGCAGAAGATTAAAAACTCCTAGCAAAGTATTACCAATAGACTAGAAATTGGTTGCAGAATATTAATACTTCCTGCAGAAGACAAATACTACCTATACAATACTAGAAACTGCTTAAAGAGATAGACTACTGCTACCAATAGACTACAAATTGGTTGCGGAATACTAATATTGCTGGCAGAAGACTAAATACTGCTGGCAGAAGACTAAAAAGTCCTTGCGGAAGACAAATACTACCTATACAATACTAAAAAATGCTTGCAGAAGATAGATATTGTCTATAGAATGTCAGTTATTGCTACTAATAGACTAGAAATTGATTTCAAAATACTAATATTACTTGTAGAAGACTAAATACTGCCGGAAAAAGACATAAACTTCTTGCGAAGACAAATACTACCTATACAATACTAGAAACTGCTCGCAGAAGACAAATTTTGTCCATAGCAGGCTAGGTACTGCAATCAATAGACTACAAATTGGTTGCAGAATACTAATATTGCTTGTGGAAAATCAAATACTGCCGGCAGAAGACTAAAAACTCCTTGCGGAAGACAAATACAACCTACACAATACTAAAAAATGTTTGCAGAAAATAGATATTGTCTATAGAATGTTAGTTATTGCTACCAATAAACTAGAAATTGGTTGCAGAATACTAGCACTGCTTCTAGAAGACTAAATACTGTCGACAGAATACTAAAATCTCCTTGCGGAAGACAAATACTACCTATACAATACTAAAAAATGCTTGCAGAAGATAGATATTGTCTATAGAAGGTTAGTTATTGCTACCAACAGACTAGAAATTGGTTGCAGAATATTAATACTTCCTGCAGAAGACAAATACTACCTATACAATACTAGAAACTGCTTAAAGAAATAGACTACTGCTACCAATAGACTACAAATTGGTTGCGGAATACTAATATTGCTTGTAGAAGACTAAATATTACTGGTAGAAGACTAAAAACTCATTGCGGAAGATAAATACTACCTATACAATACTAAAAAATGCTTGCAGAAGATCGATATTGTCTATAAAATGTTAGTTATTGCTACCAATAGACTAGAAATTGATTGCAGAATACTAATTTTGTATGTAGAAGACTAAATATTGCTGGCAGAAGACTAAATACTGCTAGCAGAAGACTAAAAACTCCTTGCGGAAGAGAAATACTACCTATACAATACTAAAAAATATTTGCAGAACATAGATATTGTCTATAGAATATTAGTTATTGCTACCAATAGACTAGAAATTGATTGCAGAATGCTAATATTACTTGTAGCAGACTAAATATTACTGGCAGAAGACTAAAAACTCCTTGCGGAAGACAAATACTACCTATACGATACTGAAAAATGCTTGCAGAAGATAGATATTATCTACAGCAGATTAGTTATTGCTTCTAATAGACTAGAAATTGGTTGCAGAATACTAATTTTGTTTGTAGAAGACTAAATATTGCTGGCAGAAGACTAAATACTGCTGGCAGAAGACTAAAAAGTCCTTGCGGAAGACAAATACTATCTATACAATACTACAAAATGGTTGCAGAATAGAATGTTAGTTATTGCTACTAATAGACTAGAAATTGATTTCAAAATACTAATATCACTTGTAGAAGACTAAATACTGCCGGAAAAAGACAGAAACTCCTTGCGAAGACAAACACTACCTATACAATACTAAAAACTGCTGGCAGAAGACAAATATTGTCCATAGCAGGCTAGGTACTGCAATCAATAGACTAAAATACTAAAAAATGCTTGCAGAAGATAGATATTGTCTATAGAAGGTTAGTTATTGCTACCAACAGACTAGAAATTGGTTGCAGAATATTAATACTGCTTGTAAAAGACTTAAAACTCCTTGCGAAGACATATACTATCTATACCAGTGGTGTCCATAAGGTCGATCGCGAAGCTGTTTTGAGTCGATCGCCAACAAAATCATGAATCTGAAATATATCTAGATGTAGACCTAAGAACTAAAAATAAAAAAAAAGGATGGTTGGTATTAAAATGTAAAAAGAGATTTTGAACCCTTCGGTCTATCTTGGCAAGGGTTTTATATAAAAAGTCGATCTTGATCAAAAATTTGTGGACACTACAAACCTATACAATACTAGAAACTACTTGTAGAAGACAAATATTGTCAATAGCAGGCTAGGTACTGCAATCAATAGACTAAAAATTGGTTGCTGAATACTAATACTGGTTGTAGAAGACTAAATACTGCCGACAGAAGACTAAAAACTCCTTGCTGAAGACAAATACTACCTATACAATACGAAAACGAAAACATGCTTGCAGAAGATAGATACTGTCTATAGAATGTTACTTATTGGTACTAATAGACTAGAAATTGGTTGCAGAATACTAATACTGGTTGTAGAAGACTAAATACTGCCGACAGAAGACTTAAAACATTTTGCGGAAGAAAAATACAACCTATACAATACTAAAAAATTCTTGTAGAAGATAGATATTGTCTATGTTAGTTATTGCTACCAATAGACTAGAAATTGGTTGCAGAATACTAATATTGCTTGTAGAAGACTAAATACTGCTGACAGAAGACTAAAAACTCCTTGCGGAAGACAAATACGCCTAGACAATACTAAAAAAATGCTTGCAGAAAATAGATATTGTCTATAGAAGGTTTGTTATTGCTACCAATAGACTACAAATTGGTTGCAGAATACTAATACTGCTTGTAGAAGATCAAATACTGCCGACAGAAGACCAAAAATTCCGCGCGGAAGACAAATACTACCTATATAATGCTAAAAAATGGTTGCTGAAGATAGATATTATCTATAGAATGTTAATTATTGCTACCAATAGACTAGAAATTGATTACAGAATACTAACCTTGCTTATAGAAGACTAAATACTGCCGGCAGAAGACTTAAAACTCCTTATGAAGACAAATACTACCTATACAATACTAGAAACTGTTTGCAGAAGACAAATGTTATCAATAGAAGGCTTGGTACTGCTACTAATAGACTACAAATTGGTTGCAGAATACTAGTACTGCTTGTAGAAGACTAAATACTGCCGGCAAAAGACTTAAAACTCCTTGCGAAGACAAATACAACCTATTCAATACTAGAAACTGCCTGCAGAAGACAAATATTGTCAATAGAAGTCTAGGTACTGCAACCAGTGACATGGTTATCAACTGGACAGAGCGTTCCGCATATTTCCCGAGGAAAAGAGTGATGCCAATAAGTTAGGCAACCAACAGTGACCATTGTAGGCAAAAGCGAGCGGCCACACGGCAATGTTAATGCTAATTCGGGGGCTGATAAATGCGCAAATAAGAAAAATACCCTTTTACTATGCAATTTTCTGATCTGCTGTACCTTTATCACTGTGACAAAGGTTTTATAAACAAGTTCATTTTTTTTAATAATAACATTTTAATAATGTCATTTTAGATATTCATATGAAGCAACTTGCTCATATTTATCTTATTATGCTATTTTAGTAAAAGCGCTTTCTTATGGCGCGGCCCGGCTTTTGCCTACAACGGCAAATGTTGATTGCATACCCTACAGCATCACTTTATTCGACGAACACGCAGACCATGTCACTAACTGCAAGCAATAGATTACAAATTGGTTGCAGAATACTAATACTGCTTGTAGAAGACTAAATACTGCCGGCAGAAGACTAAAAACTCCTTACTGAAGACAAATACTATCTATACAATACGAAAATATGCTTGCAGAAGATAGATATTGTCTATGGCATGTTAGTTATTGCTACCAATAGGCTAGAAATTGGATGCAGAATACTAATATTGCTGGCAGAAGACTAAAAATTTCTTGCAGAAGACAAATACTACCTATACAATGCTAAAAAATGCTTGTAGAAGATAGATATTGTCTATAGAATGTTAGTTATTGCTACAAATATAATGGAAATTGGTTACAGGATACTAATACTGCTTGTAGAAGACTAAATACTGCTGGCAGAAGACTTAAAACTCCTTGCGGAAGAAAAATACAACCTAAACAATACTAAAAAATGCTTGCAGAAAATACATATTGTCTATAGAATATTAGTTATTGCTTCTAATAGACTAGAAATTGGTTGCAGAATACTAATATTGCTTGTAGAAGACTAAATATTGCTGGCAGAAGACTAAATACTGCTGGCAGAAGACTAAAAACTCCTTGCGGAAGACAAATACTACCTACACAATACTAAAAAATGCTTGCAGAAAATAGATATTGCGTATATAATATTAATTATTGCTACCAATAGACTAGAAATTGGTTGCAGAATACTAATATTGCTGGCAGAAGACTAAATACTGCTGGCAGAAGACTAAAAACTCCTTGCGGATGATAAATATTACCTACACAATACTAAAAAATGCTTGCTAAAGATAGATATTGTCTATATCCGTTATCTACTGCCGATAGAAGAAACATTTACTGTGTAAATGTGACTTTTCATTTTACTCCTCCGAATTAAAAAAAAATAAAGTATAAAATAAGTGAGCTGTCAAATAAAAATTTAGCCCCATCTAACGTCAAAACGATAACCTAAAACAAAATTCTTCGTATTTCAAATTAAAAAAAAAAGTGGTCGAATAATAAATTTATTATTTTTGTTGAAAATTTCTTTTTGCACTTTATTGTAGCCGCCAACCACCTTTTAACCCTTACCCATGGTACAATACTCAACAACACGAAAACCCGGACGAAATCAACCACGAAAACAACCCCGTTTTTTACAGTTTGCGCCGCGACGTTATACCGGGCGTTCTCATCCCGAATAACGTCGACAACATACAGGGCGATTTTTTTTCGAGTTTTCATAATTTGGGGCGTTTAAACGATTTATCTCGTAGCCGGGAGGATAATTTCGACGATTTTAATCGTACAAAAAACGGGGTCGTTTTGAATCGTTGGAAAGATGCCGCTTATGGGACGAGTAATGACGACGCAGCTTGGGTTTCATTCCATAACGTGTAAATATCGCTTTCTGTGTCTTCTCTTTGGGTGTTTTTAAGTTTTGCTGAGGTACTTTTTTGCTTAAACATTAATTTGCTTGATTTTTTCGATTTTTTTGATTACGTCTGGGTGTTTATTTATTATTTTTTGATTTGATTTAATTCTTTTTAGATCAACGAATCCATTGGCGGCGGACGCCCCGGATTTAACAAGTTTTACTTCTGTTGAGGAATGGTTAAATTCGATCAAAATGCATCGGTATTTAGAGAATTTCCATTCGGGTAATATAAAAACTATGGATGCGGTCGTTAATTTAACAGTGAAAGAACTCACGGAGCTCGGTATTACGTTGGTGGGTCATCAAAAGAAAATTATGAACAGCGTGCAAAATATTCGGGCTCAAATACGTGTTAATGGTTCCGAGGGGTTCTTGGTTTAAACATTTCTTTTTAATTAAGTTCTTAAAGTTAAAAAAAACGCGGGATTAAATCGAAAAAGTGCAACAAAGAAAAACGTTGAGAAAAATATTAATTAATTAATTAAAATAAACAAAAATAAACGCAGATTGTGATGTTATATTAGCTTTTATATTATTGTATTCCGTCTGTGGTTGTAAAAAACGAAGAAGAGGAAAAAAAACGATTTTTTTTCCATATAATATTAAATTTTTCCTTTTTCGATGCTCAATTAATCACTCAATCAAGTTTTAATTAATTTTTTTGAGGTTATGATCTGAACATTAATTATTTTTTTATACAATTTTTTTTATAATTATTTATTTTTAAATTAAAAGTGTTAAAAAAGCCTCTATTTACTTATTTAAAGCAAAAAATAAGAAGAACACCAATTAACGTAACGATTTTTTTTTAATTTTAAGGTTAACCGGTAATATAACCCCCAAAAAATCATAAAAAATCGCGTCCAAAATCAAAAATCCTTCAAAACGAGCCCAAACTCGACTCATTTATCTCAAAACCCCCGCGAGATACGCGATTTTAAAAATAACAAAAGTCGGCCATTTTGGATTGATCGTCGATTTTTTTTTTTTAATTTTTTGGTTATCTCGGTTGTTTTTTGAGATAACTTAGCCGTGTTTGGGCTCATTTTAACCAATTTTTGATTTTAAACGCGATTATTTAATAAAATTTATTAAATTAAAAAAAAAATCACTTATTAAAAGGGCACTAAAATACACGGGGAGTTAAAATAACCTAAAAAAAAAATCAAAACGTTCTTTTTTTAAAAATTACATATCATGATTAATTAATTTTTTTTGAATTAAAATTTTTTCGTCCAAAAAAAAAAGAAATTTAGGTAATAAAATAGTACTTAATAATAATATTTAATAGTAACCTATAAAGAAACGAAAAAAAAAACAAAAATGGTGTATAATAATACAAAAATTGTCCGTTAGGTGTAAAAAAAAATTAAAATTTCGATACAAAGGGTAAACATTCTAAATGAGCGAACAAGAAAAAGATAGCAATAAATTTTTAAATATTTTTGTGATTTTAATTTTTATTGCTTCGCTAAACACAAAAAAAATGTACTTAATTTTTAATTTTTTTTAAACGATGCTCAAATTGATATTTTAGACGGTGATGTGTGTGTATAATCTTAATTAATAAATACGAAGAAAAAGAGAATCGAGGCGGCAATAAAAATTAATTATTTTCGTTATTTCAAATTTAACGATTTCGACAATCTTAGCTAAAAAAAAATTTTTAATTTTTAACCTCATCGTGTTAAAGAGCATTAAAAATCCTTTAAAATGAACCCAAACACGACATAATTATCTTTAAAAACAACCGAGATAACATGATTAATAATAAAAAAAAATCGGCCATTTTGAATCGATTTTCAATTTTTTTTTTAATAAAATCGCGATATCTTCGTTGTTTTTTGAGATAAATTAGTCGAGTTTGGGCTCATTTTAATCGATTTTTAATTATCTTTAAGATGGTAATAATAAAAATTATTTTTAACATGAATCATCATAAAGAGGGTTAAAAATCATTTAAAATGACCCCAAACACGATATAGTTATGTTTAAAAACAACCGAGATAACTGATTAATAATAAAAAAAAATCGGCCATTTTGAATCGATTTTCAATTTTTTTTTTAATAAAATCGCGATATCTTCGTTATTTTTTGAGATAAATTAGCCGAGTTTGGGCTCATTTTAATCGATTTTTAATTATCTTTAAGATGGTAATAATAAAAATGATTTTTAACCTAAATCATCTTAAAGAGGATTAAAAATGCTTTAAAATGAACCCAAACACGATATAATTATCTTAAAAAACAACCAAGATAACCTA